CAGAAAACCACCAAGACCATGATGAGAGTAAGTGACAGGAAAGAGAAATAGCAGCAGCAGAAACATGCAGGAAGCAGTTAAATCAGGGAAACGAAAAAGGAACTCACTGAAATATCTTCTTAGATTATGAAAAAGATGCAATAGAAATGGAACAGAATGGCATTTTTGCAATTAAAAACATTATAGCTGAACTAAAACATTCAAAAAAAAGGTTTGGAATTGAAATCCAAGAACCCAGAACAGAAAGAAAGTTACTTTTGTATGAGAGAGGATTTGAGACACAGGAGACCATCCAAAAGGTCCAACATCCAACTAACCGAGTAGAACAGAGAAAACAGAAGGGAAAGAAGTTTACCCAAGAAATATTAGCAGAATTAATGCACACGAATTTTCAAAACAAAACAGCCCAAGTATACAATACAATGGCTGAAAAAGACCCAACCTAGACACCATCTCACAAAAGCTCCAAACATCTAGGACAAAGGGATGATTCTAAAAGCTTCCAGGGGGCTTCCCTGGTGGCGCAGTGGTTAAGAATCCACCTGCCAATGCAAGGGACATGGGTTCGAGCCCTGGTCCGCGAAGATCCCACATGCTGCGGAACAACTAAGCCCATGAGCCACAACTACTGAGCCTGCGCTCTAGAGCCCACGAGTCACAACTACTGAACCCGTACACCACAACTACTGAAGCCCGCACACCTAGAGCCCATGCTCTGCAACGAGAAGCCACCGCAATGAGAAGCCCACGCACCACAACAAAGAGTAGCCCCCTCTCGCCGCAACTAGAGAAAGCCCGCATGCAGTAACGAAGACCCAATGCAGCCAAAGTAAATAAAATAAAAAATAAATAAATTTATTTTAAAAAGACAAGGATGTGATGCCCTCAAAGTTGTAAGAAAAAAATTTTGTCCAAGTCTTCTATACGAAGCCAAATACGAATCAATCAAATGTGAAAGCCAAATAGAGAAATTCAGATGGCACAGCTTTAAGAAGGGGGGGCCATTTAATTCATATCAACAATGATGTGGGCAACAATATTAAGCCGCTGAGATGTGAGGAACTGACTAATACAAGGAGTCAATAACTTTTATCTAACTTGATAAATCTAGAAACATGGCAGAAGGAGGTTCAAGAAATAACCCTCAGAAGAATTAAAAACAGAAATATCAATAGTTAAAATAGATTCTCTGAAGAGTACTTTTCATTATGAACCCTCTGTACACCTGGATTTGTTACCATCTGCAAGTATTAATTTGATCTTAAAAAAACGTAAAAGCGGGCATAAAAGAGAGGCTAGGGATGAGATCTTCTATGAGTAACATAAAAGGACTTTGTTTCCACAGCTCAGATGCCTTTCTAACGTTTCTTCCAGTTTCCTGCCTCTGCTGCTTAAGGCTGAACTTAATTATAAGTGACCTTCAATTATGACACACACAACAAAATACTGAAAAAACCTTTTAAAAAGTAGTATTCTACAAAACATCCACGAGAGGGCAGGAGAACCCTCTTTAATACTCTACCAAAATAACGACAAGGAATTCTGTTTTTAATTTATTTTCATGTTAGTCTTAGAATCTTTTCCTAGAAAGCAATAAATAGCTGTGACCTTTATAATAAAGAAGCAGGCAGCATCTAGATACAATTAAAGCATCTTTCAGCTATATATCTGCAGCCGGTATCTACACAGTATTCAATGTATATCATTAACACTTTTAACACTATAAGAAATCAAAATACATTTCATTAAATAGATGTGTGAAGTTGTGAACGTCAGGGCCCATACTGGACATACTGCTGCCATTTTTCACTATCCCCTACTTCTATACCCAGTAATGGACTTGGAAATCCAAGTCTCCATTCTGCTGAGCAAGAAGCAAGCTTCAGAACAAAGACCCCGCATGACACTGACCACCAGACACCCCCAATCAGCTGAAATGGAGATGAAACTCACCCACCACCCCAGAAAGGAAAAATGTATGCTGTGAAAAGGAAAAACAAAGATGAAAAAAGATTAGAAGACCAATTCAGTTCACTGCTAAAGAACATTTTTCAGAAATTTTCTTAAAAGATCAGGAGACCCAATGAAAAGTGTCATTATAAGTTCTTACCTTTGCTTTGCCAGTCTGAGAACCATAGAAAATCTTCACTCCAGACACAAAGACTTCCTTCTTTTGAAGAGAGATATAGCCATTTGTCATCAAATCCCGAGATGCTTTCGGAACGGTTTTCTCCTGTGAGTTTTTGTTCTTGAAATAAACACAAAATCCATCAAGTTTGAATATTTTCCCAACTTCATTAGGAATGAAAATTATCAATCGCTCAGATACTGACCCATTTTATTATTCTCTTAATTTTTCAATTGTACTCCTCAAATATTAACCCCTTGGTATAATTAGGTCCTTTAAAAGCGGGGCCCACATTTCTTAAGACTATAATGATTCCCATTCCTTCCAGGATAAAACTACACGTACTTTCACCCATAATGTGTTGTAGTGGAATAATAGTAGAAACTTATTTTCTGATTCTTAATTACTGGAAGGAAAAGAGAACACTACTACCCCTTAAGGGTGCTAAGCAGATTTGGGTTTTTTGCAAAAGTTTAATTTTTCATTACAAAACCTTCCTGTATCTTAACAATGACACTTCCACAGCCCATCAAAGAAAAGGTAAATAACTTAGTCTATAAAAACTGACAAGAAAAATTTTTTGGCATTGAAAAACTATTTCTAAAGACCAAACATAAAAGTGATCGAAAGTTCCTTTTAGAATTTCTATATTTTTCTGGAAGCCTTAGAAAATCTGCACTCTGCATTCTCTATAAAATTTGATGCCAAATACTCTCCTAGAAAAAGTAACTCCACTTGGGTTTCCCTGGTGGCACAGTGGTAAAGAATCCACCTGCTAATGCAAGGGACACGGGTTCAAGCCCTGGCCCGGGAAGATCCCACAGGCTACGGAGCAACTAAGCCCGTGTGCCACAACTACTGAGCCTGCATGCCACAACTACTGAAGCCTGCGTGCCTAGAGCCCATGCTCCGTAACATGAGAAGCTACCACAATGAGAAGCCCGCGCACCACAACAAAGAGTAGCCCCCACTCGCCGCAACTAGAGAAAGCCCACACGCAACAAAGACTCAACACAGCCAAAAATAAATAAATATATATATATTTAAAAAAAAAAAGTAACTCCACTTACCTGCTTTCTGATGACAATCTGGAAACAAATCCAAAGGCTAAAGCCAAAGGCAAAGCCCAAATATATGTAAAATCTGTTTATCCATAATGATATTAAAGATGAGAAGTCCCACATATCCAAAGAAGGATCTAAATTTAAAATGACACATATAAGTAATTTTATTTGAAGTTACATATACAATGATATCCATTCTTATTTTAGAAAAAAAAAGAAAAAGAAAAACCAACCTTCATATTCAACAACCCCACTAAGAAATCTATAAAAAGCAACTCTAATAAAAACAAGACACTGTGATATGTAATATAATTGTCATGATAATGCTAATTCAAAACAAGAATATAAAATTTTATCTTCATTTGAATATAGCGTTTGGAAAAGAAGGGAACATAAAGTCAAAACACTTTATGTGGAATTATGAGTTAATTTTGCTTTGTTACGCTGCTCCATAAGAAAAATAATACTAAACGTATTCCTCTTTTTTTTTATTTTATTTTTAGAGACCCACATCTGCTTGCAAAGCGTTCTCAAATAATTGACCTCAAGTCCCAGTTTTTTTTAAGGGAGATATGGATGGACCTGGACTCAAATGCTGAACCTGGGGGTAATTTCAAAAGGCGAGGTCTAAGATTTGAGGTTTACAGGTGCTACTCCTGGAAAGGACCAAAAGTCCTCAACACACGTGGGTAAGGGGGAGAAAGTTTCCTCTGTCTTTTGCTTGAGGTTAGAAGCATAGTTCTAAACTCATCTCCTAGCCTCAAAAGGCAAAAGCCAAGTCACGAGCAGGGATCAGTCCTCCCTTGCCCCCAGCGGCACCGGTCCCGGGCTGACAAGGGCAGCATTCTCTGGAGGAAGGGGCCCGAGGGTCTCAGAAAAACGGTTTCCTCCCTTCCCACCCCACGAACCTTACCCGCCTGTGGACCTTACCCATTCTCCTCAGGGCCCGAGCCCTGCGGCCCGACAAGACACCAGGACTGCGGACCTAAGAAACGTATTGTCCGGCGTGGATACTGGGAGACCACCAGAAGTACCTCGTAGCATTAGCTAGGCGCCCACAGTCGGAGGACCTGGGGGCAGCCATGCCACTCGCAGACCTGTCCGGATTGGCTCAGAGGAGGAAGGGGGCGGGCCCAGAGAAAAGCACCGCCCAGAGCTCCCGGCGAGGAAGCGGGAGTGCTGCCCGCGGCTCAGGAATCCGCGCTTGAGAGTTAGGGGCGAATCTGGAGAGAAGCAGGCAAAAAAAGGAGGGGGTGGGGGAGGGAAAGTCGGCGTTAAGAACCTAAGGGCATCGCCAACCTAATGCAATCTGTGAGCCTGTTTGAATCTCATTTGAAACACAAAGACTGTAAAAAGGCATTATTTAGGGGAAATTTGATTATGGACTAGCAATGAGACGCTATTAAGGAATTATGGTTAATCTCGTTGGGTGTATTTGTTAGGAGTTTAGACTGAAGTATTTAAAGCTAAAACTTTATGATGATTTGCTTTAAAATACTCCAACAAAAAAAAAGAGGGAAAATGAAACAAGAACGGCAAAATGTTGATAATTGTTGAAGCGGGGTGATGGGTACGTGGCAGTTCATTACACTTTTTTCTCTACGTTTTTTGTGTTAAAACTTTTCTATAACGAAAGGGTAATGTGGGCGTGGCCCGAAACTCCGCGGAACTGTGAGGTGCCCGGCACTGAGTTTCCACCCGGTCACCAAACATTAGCTCCACCAACCAATCAGAGCTCTTTCGTTCATTCTGGAAAGAAAATTACGTCAAGGAAGAGACCCTCTCTTTCCCGGCGTGGAGCAGTGTCGTAAAAGCCACAATGCGCAGGCGTTCTGGCTCCCTCCTCCCCGCCCGGTTGTCTTAACACCTGACGCCTGCGCAGTAAGTTGCGTGGGTGTATCGTTTCGGCCGAGTTAGTCACGGCGCTGCGCCGTCTGCGGGCGTTACTGTGCCGCGCGCCGCCGGGTGGTTACATCGAGGCTCAGTTGGCCCTCAGGCCGGCAGCGCGGGTTTGCCTTAGTTCGCCGGACCCAAGGTCTGTGAGCGGCCACGATGTCGATCTTCACCCCCACCAACCAGATCCGCCTGACCAATGTGGCCGTAGTACGAATGAAGCGAGCCGGGAAGCGCTTCGAAATCGCCTGCTACAAAAACAAAGTCGTGGGCTGGCGGAGCGGCGTGTGAGTGACACTCTCCCTCTGGGCCCTGGCCGGAGCTGGTAGCCTCGAAGGCGGCCTCCTTTGGTCGTCTAACGAATGGGCCCAGCTAGTGTCTCGCCAGGGAAGGAAATGGGAAACTTACTCCTGCTGCCCGGGCTTAGGGTCTAAACCAGACGTTCCCTTTTTTTTTTTTTGGTCGGTTTGGTTTGGGGCTTGGTTTTACTTTGCTTCCCGGGTGTCATAAAAGCCACAGCCAAGAAACCCCCATAACTGTGGTCCTTTCGTCAGAATAATGATAAAGGCAAAGGGCCTGGTCTTCCGGGTGCTTCTATAGTTCGTGCGTTTGTCACAGGTCTCAGCCCGGTAGTTGCACCGAAGTGCGTATACGGTCTTCACTGCTGCCATCTAGGGGCTGGAATTCCTTGGCAGCAGCCGGACCCCACCCTTCAGTGATGGCACAGATACTCCCGCGACGTTTTTCACCTCTGAGTAACTGCGAATACAAATGGAGTTCTGGGTTACGAAATGGTCCCCTGGAACCGAGGGTCATTTAGGAGTATTTGTTGTTTCTTACTATTCATATCGACGCCTTCTTGTATTTAAATGTGAATGAACTTCGAAGTTTCAAGCATACTCACTTAGGACTTTCTCTCCTGTCCTCCCAAGGGAAAAAGACCTTGATGAAGTTCTGCAGACCCACTCAGTGTTTGTAAATGTCTCTAAAGGTCAGGTTGCAAAGAAGGAAGATCTCATCAGTGCGTTTGGAACAGATGACCAGACTGAAATCTGTAAGCAGGTGGGTTCTAACAGTTGCAGCATAATTGACCCTAATATCCAGTAGTATTAGATATTAGATTACAGGTATGTTAAACTTTACTATTTTTTTGGAGTGATCAGTTACTGTGCAATAATTCGATCTGTGCAGCATCACTTTTAATAATTCAGGACTTGGATGTTTTTTGCCAAAGCCTCCAGAAATCAGATTTCCTACTAAGCTGCATTATTTTGTTCGTTTATACATTTTTAGTGTAATGTACCTGAAAATAGAATTTCTTTTCAAGTATTTCATCATTTACACCCTCTGCTAAGATTACCTTTACCCCATCCCCCATCTAAATAAGTAAGATTTTGGAACAAGATAATCCCTTTAGGCAAAGCTCAAGTTATTACCAAGTATCAGTAGCTGAAGAGGATGAAATTTAATTTTCTCCCCAGTTATTAATTCCTGTGGTTAGTTAACAAGTAGTGTGGAATAAAGATATTACTTTTCTTAAACATGTTGGGTTTTTTAAGATTTTAACTAAAGGAGAGGTTCAAGTGTCAGATAAAGAACGGCACACACAGCTGGAGCAGATGTTTAGGGACATTGCAACTCTTGTGGCCGACAAATGTGTGAACCCTGAAACAAAGAGACCGTACACCGTTATCCTTATCGAGAGAGCCATGAAGGACATCCACTATTCGGTCAAACCCAACAAGAGTACAAAACAGCAGGTGAGTTGTTTTTTAATGCCAAAAAGTGTCCATGAAAATCAATGTGCTCTGAGGAAAACATTAAAATAGTTGGTCTGTAATAACAAAATGGCACTACTTGGAAGCAAGTGGGAGGAGGTTTGGGGTACAGGGGAGGGGAACGATGGAGGTTTTAGAGAGGAGTGATGGAATTTGTTTTAACTAAACACAAATATACGAGGACTCTCATCTTCCTATCCAGGTCAGACCTTTAAAGATAAAACTTGGATTCTTCCAACAAGGACCTACCGTATAGCACAGGGAGCTTGGCTCAATATTCTGTAATAACCTAAATGGGAAAAGAGTTTGAAAAAGAATGGATACTTGTATGGGTATAACTGAATCCCTTTGCTGTACACCTGTAACTAACACATCATTGTTAATCAATTATACTCCAATATAAAATAAAATTGTTTTTACAAAGATAAAACTTGGATTTTTAAAGCATCATTTTAACCCCAGTTGTTAGATTTTTCTTTAATGTTTGTATAATACATACACTATAAAAGTCACCCATTTAAAGCCTACAGTTCAGTCGTATACTCACAGTTTTTGCACCCTTCCCTGCTACCTAATTTGAGAACATTTCATCACCCCAAAATGAAACCCTGTACCTGTTGTCAGTCACTTCTCATTCCCCTGTCTCGTAAGGAGGGAATAAGGCAACTGCCAATTTTATTTCTGTTTTTATTGACTTGTCTATTCTGCACATTTCATATAAATGGAGTCATACAGTATGTGGCCCTTTCAAGGTTAATCCATGTTGTAGCATCTATCAGTACTTTTTTCCTTCTTAGGACTGAATAATAGTTCATTGTATGGAAATACCACCTTTTGTTCATTCATCAGTTGGTGGACATTTGGGTTGTTCCCACTTTTTAGATATCATGAATAATGCTGCTATGAAATTGATTACAAATTTTTGTGTGGACGTATGTTTCCATTTCTCTATACCCAGGAACAGAATTGCTAGCTCATATGGTGACTGTATTAACCTTTTGAGGAATTGCTCAGCCAGTTTCCGAAACAGCTGAGCCATTTTACATTTCCACAATCAGTGTACAAGGGTTCCAGTTTCTCCACATCCTCAGTGATGTTTGTTATTGTCCAACTTCTTGATTATAGCCATCCTGGGGGTATTGTTCTGGTTTTGATTTGCATTTCCCTAATGACTGATAATTTGCGCATATTTTCATGGGCGTATTGACCCTTTGTCGGTCTTCTTTGGAGAAATCACTCTTCAGATCCTTTGACCATTTTTTAGTTGATTAGTTGTCTCTTCATTATTGAGTTGTAAGAGTTCTTTATATATCTTGGATACTAGTACCGTATCAAATGCACGATTTGCCAGTATTTTGTCATATTCTGTGGGTTGTCTTTTCACTTTCTTGATAGTTTTTTGAAGAACAAAAGGTTTTAATCTTGAAGCCCAATTTATCTATTTTTTTCCTGTGGTTGCTAATGTTCTTCATGTCATCTAAGAAACCATTGCCCAGTCCGGCTAGGTGGAAACTGCTTTGTTTTGAATACCTTCTGCAGTAATGCAGCAGCAGAAGCAAAGAAATTACAGACATTTTTAATTTTGTCTTGATAGGCTTTGGAAGTGATAAAGCAGTTAAAGGAGAAAATGAAGATAGAACGTGCTCACATGAGACTTCGGTTCATTCTTCCAGTGAATGAAGGGAAGAAGCTGAAAGAAAAACTCAAGCCACTCATCAAGGTTATAGAAAGTGAAGACTATGGTCAACAGTTAGATATTGTAAGATTAACATACTCTTGTTTCTTTGCTTCCACGTTACCAAAATACTTCTCTAGTCATAAATCTGTCACATTTAGAAGGTGTGAACAGTAAGACATTTCCAGTAATGTCTTAACTAGAATTAGGTAAGACAGTCAAGGTCTCCGTAGAACTAAATTGTCATTAAGAACACTTACAATTTTTGTTTGCTTTTTTAGTTAAATTATTCATGATAAAATGATTTTGGTCAATGCTCATTTTCGATGAGAATATATTTTACAGTGAGTCTTCTATTAATGAGGAAATTGGAAATAGGACTAAAAGTTTGTCAGTCTCATTTACTGCAGAACATTTTAAAGAAGCAGCAAAAACATCATGTCTTTGGGTCCTCACCCTGCAGCTTCAGACATCGTGTAAATTCAGCTGTCTGCAAACCCACGTCTTAGAGCTTTATAGCTTCTTGACAAATAAATGAGCTCTAGAGGACTGTTGCCCTTTCCACTGTAGATGTAAAACAACACATCTGACACTCTCTGAAGTTCTAAAATCTTTGCAAAACTTTGCACATGGTTTCTAAATAGGCCTTCCACCTCTTTTTTTTTTTCTTCAAATGTGGATACAAAGAGATGATTTTATTGAACTGTAAATTTTAACGCTAAGTTTTAGTATGAAAAGGACCATAGCCTTCTAATCCAACCACTTCGTTTTACAGCTGAGGAATCTGGAAAAGTCCTCAGTAGGGAGAATAATGCCTTGTCACAGGGGCCTGCGTGCATACTTAAGGGCAGAGGCTGGACCAGAACCCAGCCCACCGTCCTGTGCGTTGTCTTATCTGTGGTTGTAGAGAGACCTGGAAAGTATGGTGTGTTTGTCTCATACGAAGTGAAAGCTGTGTCCATTCTATGGTACTGCTCTTCCTCATGTGGTCAACAGCTGTGTTCAATGTTTCAGGTGTGTCTCATCGACCCCGGCTGCTTCCGAGAAATCGATGAGCTCGTAAAAAAGGAGACAAAAGGCAAAGGCTCTTTGGAAGTACTCAGTTTGAAAGATGTGGAAGAAGGAGATGAGAAATTGGAGTGACAGTCATCAGTCTCTTCAGCTGTCAAACACTAAAGCGTTTTCGCTTCCCACAGCCCTGTTTTCTTTCTGTGATCTGCCAAATACTTGCTCAGCTGAGTTGACACTTTCCATCTTTGTGGCAAACATGTACACAAAAAGACTTTCCTACGTAAGTATTATAATGTGGGATTCATTTAGTTTTAATTATCAAATAGGGTTTTAGGCAAAAGTGAGATACAGAGTCCAGAGTAGCATTTTGTTACTGCCTCACGCCTTTGAGCTTTCCAGGGTGTAAGTTATTTGACACAACTCTTGTGGATAAAAAATAAGTTTTGTACATTATAAGAAAATAGCTTTGGGAGGATATATCTGTATGACAGAAAGGGAGGATTTGCCAAAAAAGAAAATGTGTAATGTCTTATTTCTACTTAATGAAATGTGTGTATAGGGGTAACTGTCTCGTGACCTAATACAAAGCTTGGATGATGACTTCTTGATTTTCTGAAAAATAGATAGATGATGACTGTGCAGGACTTCAATAATATTCATCAAACATGCTGCCATAGCCTACATTATTCTTGGTAAAAAATACAGCCATTTATTGCTAATTCTTAAAGTTTATAATATATATTACTAGAGTTGAAAATATACGTAATCAATAAAACCACTGTTTATCTTTGTTAAACTATGGCTTGTATTTCTAGACAGCTTCCTACCTTTTTCTTTTCTCTGCCTCTTGTCTGGTAGGATGGGAGAGTTCTTAGCAGGATTAAACAAGTCAGGAGGAGGAGTGCTCAGAACAGGGCCTGTTCTGTTAAATACCTGATAAACCTTAGAGATATTATTTGGGATGTAATTGAACTTGAGTGTTTTAGTATTTGAACACTTAAACAGACAATGTGCAAGTTTTTTTAAATCTACTTATCCTCAAAAGAGATAGTCTAGAATACAAAGTAGGGTTTCACTCAAAATAAACATACAGATGTTTTTTGGTTTTTTTTTTTTGTGATACGCGGGCCTCCCACTGCTGCGGCCTCTCCCGTTGCAGAGCACAGGCTCCGGACGCGCAGGCTCAGCGGCCATGGCTCACGGGCCCAGCCGCTCCACGGCACATGGGATTCTCCCAGACCGGGGCACGAACCCATGTCCCCTGCATCGGCAGGCGGACTCTCAACCACCGCGCCACCAGGGAAGGCCCCATACAGATGTATTTTATGCACAGAAGTTTTTAAGTGAAAAAGAGTTCTTGACTTGAACAGATCCTGATTGGTTGATTGAAGTCAAACATTTTTCTCATAGTGTTGGAAGAAATATTCTTAAGACACACTTTCTTTAATGGTGAAATTAAACTACTGTTCAGATACAGTCTTCAAGATGACCCCCTCACTGATTCCATTTTACTTACATAGTTTGTTGTTTTACAAAAATGATCTAAACTTGAAGTCCCAGGAAATTATTTTAACCAATGAAGTTTACACTTTATTTCTAGCTTAGACAGTTAAAGCAACGTTTCAGGTCGAAAGTCATAATTACTAAAAATGTTCAAGAGCTGCATCTTGAACAGAAAAAAGATAAATGTTACCATAACATTGCCTTAAGTTTTTCCCATTCTCATACTCATTTCTTCTAAAAAGCTGGAACTTCGAGAATTGTCAAATGTAAATCAGAGTCATGTTTCTGAACCTATAAAAAATAAAAAATTTTCTACCTTGTATTAATCTCGTTATTCAGAAGTAGTTAAAAAGTTTGGTTCATAATTATCTTCCCAGTAGCACTGCTATAATGGATTACCTTAAGGATTATCGGTTTATTTTGCTTTTTCAACGCGAGCTTTATTGTGTACAGTTGGTCAGAATGACGTTTCAGAATTAAACCTCTCTATTAGCAGAGCTCTTTTCTTTGAAGTTTCCCTTGTACCCATACACAACTATTTGTTCCAGCTTATGTAACCTCATACCACTTTGAAATTCCCTCGTTGACCTTGATTTTTGCCCTACCTTGTGTTATAGAGAGCTGCTTAAACACCTTCCTGGCACACTAGATTGTGAGCAGCTCAAGGGCAGGAGGTTAGCCAGCTGTGTGTATCCCTCCATGGTTTGGACCTGGTAGTTGTGGAATAAGTGTCTGTGGAGTTATAAGCATCCTCTCTCGGTGGGGGTCCATGCCATCAGAAGTGAGGACAGGTAATGACTTTTTCAAATCCATCTTTAAAGCTTGACTGAGTTTTTGTCAGCTAAGCCAGAGCCTCCCACCGTTCATACCCATGCGTGCTGCTGTGCCGCTGGTGGTTTGTGTCTGCACAGATCCCCAGTCCTCAGGGCTTTTATCTCTGCCTGCAAGCAGCCGCTCACATTTACCCCAGGGTGTCATACGCACATATTCTGTGGGGCTGTGATAGGGGAAATAGGGTAGCAGCACTCATTATTGTAAACAGTAGCCACACATGATTTTAACCTGCATGCTACCCTTAAGCCCACATCATGAGGTCCCTATGATTTTGGTAGTAGTGCATTTCCTTATTTAGAATTTTTTGTGTACTTGCTCTTAAATTACTGAAATTTCAAGGTATTGATTATTTGAAAATACATTTCTGCTGCAGCATATTAGAGGTGATCGTGGATAGTTTGCCACTAACAGCATTTAATGTCTGGGATGATGTAGGCCATTGATTTTCATCTCCACATGTATATTAATGGTACCTACAAAATTAACGAGTCTAAATGTAATTTTATAGCAGCAACAGTTCTTCTGAGCTAAAAGTATAATCCTGACCTAACAGTTTTACAACACTCTGAGCACGTGTACTTGAATGGCCCAGGGCCCCCTTCCAAACACCCCAGAGGAAGAGTCACCAGTTTCACCAAATTCCTACATATTTTTGGTTGGTAGAGAATGGAGATAAATGGGTTGTGGAATTGAAAAGAACAGTGTCATTTTTACTGCAGAGAGGAACAGAGCTGTCTTCTACACTCAGTGCTATTCATATCTTAGGAGATTCTTCCATCTGGTGATACACTTGAATGCCAAAAGTTTCTTGAGTGGCACTCTTCCTGTGGCAGACGAGCATAGTTGGCATACTTTTCAAGGATAAAGGGCCACAAGCTTATTTATTACTGTCGTGCAGAGGTAGGATCAAGACTAGGAATCTTGCATGTAATCAAGGTAAAATAGTTTGTGGTTTTACAGTTAAAACTTTGCAGATTATAGAAAGATTTTGGACATGCATTGGCATGACAAAAGGGAATAATAAAGCATTTCTTAGTGAAATTTGTATAAAGAGATAATTGTGTAAAACTTGAATGATAACCGCCTGATTTTCTCAGAGAGATGGTGATAGTTCAGGTGTTCAATAATTGTGTTGAACATGCTGCCATAATTAAGATTTCATAATAGTATAGAATATTATTTTTTAAAGGGCTCGTCATCACTGCATTTGGGATTTTTCTTTTGAGTAAAAAACAGTTAAAAGGGGCTTCCCTGGTGATGCAGTGGTTAAGAATCCGCCTGCCAATGCAGGGAACACGGGTTCGAGCCCTAGTCCGGGAAGATCCCACATGCTGCAGAGCAACTGAGCCTGCGCTCTAGAGCCGCGAGCCACAGCTACTGAGCCCGTGTGCCACAGCTACTGACCCTGCACTCTAGAGCCCGCGAGCCACAACTACTGAAGCCCGCATGCCTAGGGCCTGTGCTCTGCAACAAGAGAAGCCACTGCAATGAGAAGCCTGTGCACCGCAACAAAGAGTAGCCCCTGCTGGCCGCAACTAGAGAAAGCCCACGCGCAGCAACAAAGACCCAACACAGCCAAAAATAATATAAATAAATAAATAAAATAAAGGAAACTTAGATTTTAAAATAATAAAATAAAAATGGACAAGGAAAGCAGAACGAGTGGCTCAGAGAGAAGTAAGGATGGGAGAAGGGGCAGGAGAGATTTGAAGAGGGATACTCCCCCCACTATTGCTGGCGTCGAAGATGGAGGAACGGAACCACGACCCAAACAATGCAGGCAGCTTCCAGAAGCTGGGAAGGACCCTCAGCTGACAGCCATCAAGGAAATGGGGACCTGAAAGGAACTAAATTCTACCAACAGCCTGAGATAGTGAGGAGATGGATTCTCGCCTAAGAGCTCCCAGGACGGACACAGCCGACCCCGTGATTTTAGTCCAGTTAGATCTGAACCCGGCTTCCGACATACAGAACCGTAAGGTAACAAGTTTGTGTATTTTAAACTGCTAAGTTTGTGCTAATGTGTTACAAAAGAAGTAGAAACTGTAGATTATGGATGTTTCAATATGATGAGCAAAAAATGGGTGATTCGCTCAAAGACATCTGCATAATTGGCTATCTGTCTAATAGAACCAAACTCCTACATCATAACATAAAGAAAATTAATTTTACATGAATTATAGAGCTAAGTGTAGAAATAAAGGCATGAGAAAATATAGACAATAAAGTGTTCAAAAATATAGGAAAATATTTTACCCTAAGAGTAAAAGAGGCTTTCTTAAAGAAAATAGAAACCTGGAAATTATAAAGGAAAATACTAAAGGATTTAACAACCAAAAAAAGTGAAATTTCCGAATGACAAAAGATACTTCAAGAAAGTTCAGAGAAAATAATGATTGAAAGAAAATACATGGAACATTTAAGTCAGGTGGAATGCCAGCAAGTCAGGACAAACCAATAAAATAGTCTTATGCTCAGCCCCAAGCACTAGAAATAAATGCAAAATAAGATGGTCACCTTCTCTCAGAGAAATGCAAAATAATGAAAAATAATTTTCTATCCATCATATTGAGGAAAAGTTAAAAAATTCTGATACTGGCAAGGATGGGGGCGGAGGGACCACCACTTTCACACATTTACTGATGGAAGTATAAATTGCTACAGACATTTAGGAAAATAACCTGGTGGTATCTTTAAAATTTTAAATATGTATACCTTACATTTAGGTATCTATCCTCCAGAAATAAATGTATCTAAATTCTAAGGATATACATACAGGGATGTTTTCTGCTTTGGAAGACCTGAAAATAACCATCCGTAACACGTAAGTATTAATAAATTGCAATACTTCCTTATTGTGAAGAATTAGGTAGTTTTTACAAATGAGACGTACCTACCTGTGTGTCCTATAGAGACCTATAATATTACATATAATGTCCAAGATAATAAAAGTGGAGGCGGAGGGAAGGGTTGGAGGAAGGGAAACACATTATAGAACAATGTATTACAGTTTAATCCCATTCTTTTACCTCTTTTGGAGGTGTAGGGGAGGAAGACTTTTTCTTTTGGGTTCTTTAGCTGATTGGATCATTAAACTGACACAAGGCAGATTAACAGGAGGAAAACAGATTTCATTTCATATACGTGGGAACTCATACAAAAATATGAGACTCAAAGTAAGTGACCAAGGCAGGCAGCTTTATACCTTTTAGACAAGGAAACAATAAATTTGTGAAGAATTGACAAGACAAAGGTGTTTGGGCTTGGGGTAGCAAATTAGTGAAGTAACAAGGTTTGTTTATACAGCCTTCGGGGCCCTGAATTCCCTGTCTCTGGTGATAAGGAGGCCTTCCACCCTCCTGGTACAGAAAGGACACCTTTCACATGAGAGATTTATTTCCTACTTTCAGGGGAACAAAAGAAGTCAGAGTGTCCTTGCACTGACCGTTTCTTAACTATAATCCAGAATAATCAATATGCCCAAGTGGCATATTTTGGGGTGCAAGTTTTCAAAGAATAAGAAAATACTAATTTTAAGCTGTTGTGTATTGAATACTAGTGGACCCAAATTTTAAGGAAATTAAATAATCAAAACATTCAATTTAAAATAGAAATAAATTGGCAAGGGATAGCGCTTCATGGAATAAAATGATTCGCCACGGAAGAATTTTTTTTTTAAATAAGCTTTTCAGTTACATTTAAAGTGACATTAAATCTTTAGTGTCATCAATGTTCATTTTCAAGGATCTCTTCTGCCCCGACCTTTGGACACGGTGGGAGACTTCCATGGTTCTGGGAACCTGAGGTCTTAAACTCTGTCCCTTGTGTGACCAGGACCTTAGCAGGTGACCCTGGCCCTACAAAGCAAGTTGCAAGAGCAAAAAGCCCAGGAAAGAGTGCAGGTGGGTTGCTCCACGATAAGGTCCTGCACCTACTTCAGGTGCTAGGAGGCCTGGATGATGTAACGTTACTTAGGTCAGCTGGCAGGGAAGCCAGGGGAGAATTTCAAACAAAAATCAAGCAGAGCCAGGGAATGGTGGAAGGCTCCCAGTGAAGACAGAAGATAGGAGACTGGAGCAGAGCAGCTACTTGTCACCGCAGTTCACCTCCCCCCAGGGCAAACAATGTGTGTTGGCCCTGACATTTCTTCATGTACTTCCCCTCCAAGGCTGAGTCCAGCCCAGGGATTCAGTGCCGATGAAACAACTTCCCCATTTTTTTTGTCCTTCAGTCTCATGGCATGGATCTCAGATTTAAACTCTTTTAATCAGTCTTTGAACGTTTTGCTTTTCTCCAAATAGTCTAGCCTACTGTAAACCACAAAAGGGCAAACGAGCAGGGCAGCCTACTCGTTTTTGGAGCAACCCATTTTATATCGTTTTCCATTTTCCATCATGGCTCAGCTTAGGTGTATGTATATCATTGAGATACAAGTTTTTCCAAGAAAAAGTACCCTTACTACATGCAGTGTCTAATATGCTCCATTATTTTCTATTTTACTACTTTTCTTTTTTCTTTTTTTTTATCATTCTTCATGCCCGCCATGACCTGCAGTATGAAAAATATTGTTCTATGTGTCATCATCCCAGATCACAAAGTCGTTTGGGAAGGATTATGGTTCTTCCATTGTTCTTTTGCTTCAGAAGCTAAGGATCCTTCCCTCCCGCCATCTAATTGACAGCGGGAGACCTGGAGTCCTCGGTTACACACCTGGACCCTCACTCCAGCTGTGCTCCAGGACTCAAATCCAGGCCCTTTTACACCAGACCTACTCAACAATCAAACCACGTGGTTAGTGTTCATGACCCTTCCTGCCTTGAGTCCCAAGACATCAGAGGACAACTCCTAACAGGTCCACTGATGACCAACGACTTTTGCAAAGCTCTACCTCTGTCTTTCAGTCTCCAAAGAGAGGCTCTTTGGGTCTGTATTTCTCAAATCCACCTTCATAGATCCCTTTTCAAATGAAAAGCCTTCACGATCATTTGGAGTTGAAAGCTGTTGAGTTTTTGTACAAGGACTGAAAAAGATAAAGAACGACAGCAAAAAAAAAAAAGAGTTCTAGTTCTGAAAACAGTGGAACTTTGCCTATATTCATTCTTCTTTCTTTCCCTCTGTACATTTTTTGGGGAGCTTTATAAATTTATAAACAATTGAAGGAAGGATGTGGAGTATAGAGTCAGAAAACCCTGACTTTAATCCCAGCTCTTCCAGTTAACAGCTGTGTGACCTCTGACAAATCACTTCACCTCTCTGAGCCTTTATTTCCTCATCAGTAAAATGGAGCTGATAATGGATGCAAAGCCTAAACCCATCCCGGAGCACATGCACAATAAATTGTTTTTAACATTATTTCAGAGAAGTTTGCTGATATACCTTCATGGCCACAGAACAAGCTGTTGGCTGAGCAAGAAGACATTGCTGGGGCTTCCCTGGTGGCGCAGTGGTTGAGAGTCCACCTGCTGATGCAGGGGACACGGGTTCGTGCCCCGGTCCGGGAAGATCCCACATGCCGTGGAGGGGCTGGGCCCGTGAGCCATGGCCACTGAGCCTGTGCTCCTCAACAGGAGAGGCCACAACAGTGAGAGGCCCGCATACTGCAAAAAAAAAAAAAGAAGAAGAAGACATTGCTTTCCTCAGGGTCAGGACATAGCACCAGGGCCCAGGGTCTAACACGGGCTTTCTGACCTTTAAAATGGAGAAAATACCCTCACCTTTAAAATATTCTCACCTTGAAAAGGGAACCCTCCTACATTTGTGGGAATGTAAATTGGTGCAGCCACTATGGAGAACAGTATGGAGGTTCCTTAAAAAGCTAAAAATAGAGTTACTATATGATCCTGCTTATATCTGGAGAAGACTATAATTGGAAAAGATACATGCACCCCAGTGTTCATAGCAGCACTATATACAATAGCCAAGACATGAAGCAACCTAAATGTCCATCAACAGATGAATGGGTAAAAATTATGTGGTACATATCTACAACGGAATATTACTCAGCCATAAAAAAGAATGAAATAATGCCATTTGCAGCAATATGGATGGACATAGAGATGATCATACTAAGTGAAGTAAGTCAGAGAAAGACAAATATCGTATGTGGAATCTAAACAAATTATACAAATGAACTTATTTATAAAACAGAAACAGATATAGAAAACAAACTTAGGGGACGTCCCTGGTGGTCCAGTGGGTAAGACTCTGCACTCCCAAGGCAGGGGGCCTGGATTTGATCCCTGGCCGGGGAACTAGATCCCACATGCATGCTGCAACTAAGAGTTCACATGCCGCAACTAAAAGATCCCACATGCCACAACAAAGATCCCATGTGCCACAACTAAGACCTGGCGCAGCCTAAATAAATATATTTTTAAAAAAGAAAGAAAACAAACTTATGGTTACCAAAGGGGAAGTGGGGGGATATATTAGGAATTTAGCATTAGAAGATACTGCTGTATAAGAAATAGCTAAACAAGGTCCTACTGTATAGCACAGGGAAGTATAGTCAATATCCTGTAACAAACCATAATGGAAAAGAATATATGTATGTAGGGAATTCCCTGGAGGTCTGCACTTTCACTGCCCGGGTTCAATCCCTGGTCAGGGAACTAAGATCCCACAAGCTGTGTGACTCGGCCAAAAAAAAAAAAAAAGTGTATGTATATATATATATATATATATATATATATCTGAATCACTTTGCTGTACACTAGAAATTAACACAACATTGTAAATCAACTATACTTCAATAAAAAATTAAATATCTTCACCTTTAAAATGGAGAAAATACCCAGTATATCTCACAGGGTGAGGTTTAAGTGACATCATTACCTAACAGGATGTCAAAATCTGACTCAATGTCTCCAAAATTGCTCTTGAGAGCAATAGGTGACAAGAACTCTCTATTCTACAGAGAAATGCCCAAAAGCCTAGACATCCACACAGGACCCTATCCACATGATGCTAACTAGAGGATAAAAGCTAGAAAGACTTGAAGAGCTTTGAGGTGTGTCCTGTGGAGCTTGTAAATTTTATTTTCTTATCAACAGAAAACTAAGCCATTTTACAGCACAGCATCTGAATTAACAAGCACTTTTGGGTCAGAGTGATCTTATTCAGAGTTTCCTTTTATTTTAAAGATGATTCACGTCTTAAAGGGAGACCCGTATTTCTGATCTCATAATTTTCCTTTTTAAAACAGAGGCCCTGTATCATTCTGTTTCTGCATGGTCACACTATGTTACTTTTGGCCAAAAATTATTACCAGGCAATTAGAAGAAGGGAAGTATCTTTTTTTTTAATTGAAGTATAGTTGATTTACAATGTTGTGTTAGTTCTTGCTGTACAGCAAAGTGACTCAATTATACATATATATAAATTCTTTTTTATATCCTTTTCCATTATGGTTTATCTCAGGACATTGAATATAGTTCCCTGTGTTATACAGTAGGAACTTGTTGTTTATCCATTCTATATATAATAGTTTGCATCTACTAACCCCAAACTCCCAGCCCATCCCTCCCCACCCCACCTCCCCTTGGCAACCACAAGTCTGTTCTCTATGTCTGTGAGTCTGTTCTGTTTCATATATAGGTTCATTTGTGTCATATTTTAGATTCCACATATAAGTGATATCATGTGGTATTTTCTTTCTCTTTCTGACTTACTTCACTTAGTACAATCATCTCTAGGTCCATCCATATTGCTGCAAATGGCATTATTTCATTTTTTATGGCTGAGTAGTATTCCATCGTGTATATGTACCACATCTTCTTTATCCATTCATCTGTTGATGGACATTTAGGTTGTTTCCATGTTTTGGCTATTGTGAATAGTGCTGCTATGAACACAGGGGTGCATGTATCTTTTTGAATTAAAGTTTTGTCTGGATATATATGCCCAGGCGTGGGATTGCTGGATCATATGGTAATTCTGTTTTTAGTTTTCTGAGGAACCTCCAAACTGTTTTCCATAGTGTCTGCACCAACTTACATTCCCACCAACAGTGTAGAAGCATTCGAAAAAGGGAAGCCTCTTTGAGGTAAGTTACTGTGTTAAATTAGATTTCTGAGCAGGGAGATATTTAACATTTCAGAACACATTTCAGTTTTTAAAATTAGTCCTTCTCCTTCAGGAATAGCCAGCAAATGGTGCAGAAACAAAGTGTAGTGCAAAACACAGATTTTTTTTTAAGAGAATTAATTCACTTTATTCTGAGCCTTTATTTCCTTAGCCTGTTTTCATTTGCTGCATCTCAATAGAGTCCACTTTCCTCCTCCTCATAAATTGATCGTGATTTCCAATACACACTTGTAAAATCTGTGAAATGCAGAGTATGCAGCTACTCACCTATAACCCAACCGTCTGCCTCATGACATCTAACACCCCATGTTTACCTCCTGCACCTCTCTCAAAAGCCATGGTGTGAGGCAGAGAGGCAGGCAGGGGTGACAGGTAATTTGCCATTTCTCTTTACTTCATACCATAACACCCCCAAAGAGCTCATGGGTCTCTTACATTCTTTTTTTTAAAAATTTTTTATTGACGTATAGTTGATTTACAATGTTGTGTTAATTACTGCTGTACAGCAAAGTGATTCAGTTATAGATACATTCTTTTTCATATTCTTTTCCATTATGGTTTATCACAGGATATTGAATATAGATAATTCCCTGTGCTATATAGCAGGACTTTTTTTTTTTTCTTGGCCATGCCGTGCAGCTTGTGGTATCTTAGTTCCCCAACCAGGGATTGAACCTGGGCCCTCAGCAGTGAGAGTGTGGAGTCCTAAGCACTGGATCGCCAGGGAATTCCAGTAGGACATTGTTGTTTATCCATTCTGTATATACAAGTTTGCATCTGCTAATCCCAAACTCCCAATCCACCCTTCTCCCACCCCCTCCGCCTTGGCATTAAATGTCCTTATAGGAAATATTTCCCTTTTTAAAGGACCAAATAATATCAAATGACAGACTTCTCTCTGACTTCTTTATTATTTTACAAGTTCATTGCAGAAGTTCCATTTTCTGATTCCAGCTCCCTTCAATAAAAATTAAGTCCTTTTCCAAGGTTTGCAAATGATAGTAAGTGTACCCAAAGCTCTTCAGAGAAACTATTCTGAGCAATTTCTTTACCAAGTTGTGCCCAAACAAAATAACAAATACAGCTAAATTTTCCCTGCATGTGTTGGCAATTCAGCACTTTCCATTAGTACAAAGCAAATAGTAATTGTGTGTCTTGAGTGTTTTTCAGATATCATTTCATTTCCCTGACTGTCTACAAAGTTCTCCTGTTTTTATACATCCTTTACAGATGGAGAATGTGAAGTTAAATAAGGGTCTGGGGGCAGGATTCCATTTCAGGGTCCAGAATTTAGTATAAATGTCAGGATATTAATATTTTATTTTTAGGACACTCATTCAGTAAGTGAAGTAGCAGACATGGGCTAACCAACCAGTTCATTCACCCTCATTTGTGAAGATAAAAATTTTTAACTTCAGCTCTTTTGTGAAGTGGTTTAATAGTGTTGATGTTAAAAGAGCAAAAGAGCCACTCATTTTACCAGCAAGATTATGCCAACCACTTTGGCCAATTATCAAGGTCCCTGGGCATTCCAAGCTTGATTCCCTTGGAGGTTGAAGGAAACCACCTCCCTGATATTTCTGAAAAGAACGCTACTATCAAAGGAACCAACAACTAAACGTCTGCCATGTGTTTGGTCAGGCTGTCCTCTTGCTCTTTGTACATCCCCTGCTTGACCAGCCCCTGCTTCCTCTACACCCTACTTGCTCCCAGCCCCAGCTAGTGATTGCTAATCCTTAGGCCACAACGGCTCCACCTGCTCATTTATTAAAGGGAAACATCTGCCCTCATGATGGTCATTAACGTGGGGGGTTGTGAGGGACGTGCCCCAGCTGTTCTCCATAGTGGCTGCACCAATTTACATTCCCTGGCAAGAGTATGGCATCTAATAATTCCTGAACATAAGGGCCATTTTAAATTTGGTCCCCACTGGAAGTGAGGAAGCCTCACTCTTTCCATAGCTTTCCAAAGTCATAAGCTACTCCTACATAAGGCATATCTACTGTCTGTAGAGATATTTACAGCTTTACCCTCGGCCAAAACGCAGGCCCAAGCAAGAGCATACAGTTCAGCCTATTGGGCTGACGTAGCCGAGGCCAAAGGTGCTGCCTTGATGGCTTCAAAAGAGTTACAAGAGCATACCCAGCATAATACTTACCATGTTCACCTTTTAAATAAGAACCATTGGTAAACCCACAAAAAGTCAGTGTTATCCAAAAGGAGTTTCCTATAAGTTATCACGGGCGTCAGGAGGTAATCTGTCAGAGTCAGTCATGAGGAATATTGTCCATAGAGGAGGGAAAAAGGGTGGCAGTGTTAAGGTTATTACAGCGAGAAAGAGCTGTTAGCAAAAGATTTCACAGGCCAAGCAAGGGCAGGGGGATTTATCAAGCTTTTCCAATTTCAAGAGTAGCCAACTAGCCCAAGCTTAGTTTTGAGTTTGGGGACGTTCAGGATGCTATGAAACCTATTTGGATCTAAATGTAACCCTTGTTTTGAGATCAGGTGCCCCAACTATGAAATCTGAGTTTGAACAAACTGCAGTTTTCCCTTGGAGACTTTGTGTCCCTTAAAGGCTAAAAATTTTAACAGGTAAATGCTGTCCTGCAAAGAGGCCTGAGAAAGGAAGCAGAGAAGCAAGTTGTTTACCTATTGAAATAAACTAGAGGATCCAGGTAACAATTATATCATCCAAAGGGTCATTGGATTCACCTTGTAGGCTATTTTGGTTGCTACTGAGATAGCACATAAAACGTCGACTGGCTTAAACTGGTTTTGCTTTCTTAAAACAGGTTGGTGATGAGTCAGACCTGAAGTTGTTTTATAGAGACAGCACTGTGCATGTGCAAGATGGGAACCCATGTCTCCAGGATGAGCCCAGAACCAAATATCTTCAGTCTGTGGAACTCAAAGAATAGAATTGTTGCCACCAGAGGGCTTTAAGAAGGGAGAGGTCCTAAAATAAGGAAAATCTGGCTTCCAGCAGCCTAAGTACCTTGGTTATCATATATGTACTGATTTGAGGCTATCCAATCAACTTCTGCCAAGTTTGAAATTCCCCTAACCCCCTAACCTGGGATCAAGGAGACAGATTTGAGCCCTGCCTTCTATCTGCTTGCTGGTCAACCTCACAATAAAGCTCTTTTTGTTTTTCAAAAGCCGGTGCCATAGAATTGACTTCTATGCATGTCTGGCAGCAAGCCCTTGCTTGGTAACACTACTGTCAATTTCTAGAATTAGCTCCCCTTTTGGGGAGGAAGAAATTCCAGACAATATTTCTTTAAGAAATCTCCACCTAATAAATGGGTAGGGGTGGAGGAACAAAGGGGAAAAGTGTATCTCTTAGAGGAACTAAACAAAAGGGAACAGGCTTAGAGATAGGAACATGTTAAGTTTATTAGAGACCCCCACTATTTGAACCATTTTAGTACTCCCAGGCAAGGGATGTGAATAATAGTGGGATTGAGCACTGAGAGGGTAGCTCTGATATCGATAAGGACAGAGGGAGATTCATCCCACTCCAAGCTGGTTAAGAGGAAGGATTGGGGAAAGCCCAGAGTCCCGTCACTGGGAATTAGGAGGGAACATGGTTTCCCATTCCATCCTGGTCCTTTTAACTAGAAGGGAAAGATCCCGGTTCAGCCCATTAATAAACTGAGTTGAAGGCTACCCAAGTGCAATCAACATCCATAGAAAGGCCAGAATTTTCCTTAAAAATAATTGGGAACTGGCTATAATAATCATGCACAGGCTCATTGTGTGTCTGGGTGCAAGGCTGAATCTTATTTCAATCAGTAGGTTTGGGGAAAGCCAGGTGAAGTCATTTAAGTTTGCCGGAGCCTGATCCTATATCAAGGCAGGGGGTTGAGCTTTCATTTGCAGTGCTAGAGATTTCTCAGGACTCTCCCAACGCGCTGTTTTCATCCAGTCTTGGGCCTGGCTTTCACCAACAAGCATGTGAGCTCCATGGTATAAGTCTGAGAAACCTGGTCGGTAAGTCTGAACAGCTACATTAAATTCCTCGGGAAATATATGGGGGATCCTTAGCTCTACTCTAGGAAAATCTTTGTGGCTTGTAGTTCAGCCTTAGTCCAGGGGGCGGGGGCATTGAAAATTAGGGGCTTAGCATTAGAACCTTCAGAGGGTCTGATTTTAATGCGACAGGTTCTAATGGGTTCAGACGAGGAAGAAGTAGGGAGAGGTTTGGAGAAAAAGCAAAGTTCAGTGAGAGAATTCGAATGAGGAAGAGGAGGGTATGAAGGAGGTGGGGTTGGAGACAAAGAGGATGGGGAAGGGGAAAAGGAAGCTTCAAAGGTTTTTTTGTCTTCAATTGTTTGTTCACATTGATTAATTTATAAATGGTATTTTGTAAAGAGGCAATTTTAGTATCCCGAATATGCTTAGAAGCCTCAAGGTACCAGTTGAAACAGGCGTTTGAAACAGGCGTCCCGTTCAGTTTGTTGTATTTTAGAGCCTCGGTCTTCTAATTTGGTTCTAAGAGAAGCAAGTCTGGGGAGATCATAAGTTCCCCATAATGGCAATTGGAGTTCTAAATTGTTTTTGGTTAGGCTGGTCAAATTAGTTTAAAATGTGTATAAGTTTTTGGGTTTTTTTCCTTTTGTTTTTTGGTTTGGTTTGGGTTTTTATTGAAGTATAGTTGATTTACAATGTTTCAGGTGTACAGTAAAGTAATTCAGTATATATATACATATGTATAATATGTGTGTGTATATACTTTTTCCAACCCTTTTCCATTATAGGTTATTATAAGATATTGACTGTAGTTTCCTGTGCTATACAGTATGTCCTTGTTGTTTATCTATATTATATATAATTGTGTGTATCTGTTAATTCCAAACTCCTAATTTATCCCTCCCCCAGCCCCTTTTCCCTTCAGTAACCATAAGTTTTCCATGTCTGTGAATCTGTTCTGTTTTGTCAATAAGTTCATTTGTATTATTATTTTAGATTCCACATATAAGTGATATTTTTTAAAGGTGTATACTTTTTTAAAATATACTCTAGAGATCTTTTTTATTTTATTTTAATTAATTTATTTTATTTTTGGCTGCGTTGGGTCTTCCTTGCTGTGCGTGGGCTTTCTCTAGTTGCGGCAAGCGGGGGCTACTCTTCGTTGCGGTGCCCGGGCTTCTCATTGCGGTGACTTCTCGTTGTGGAGCACGGGCTGTAGGCGCGCGGGCTTTAGAGCAGTGGCTCAGTAGTTGTGGCACACGGGCTTAGTTGCTCCGTGGCATGTGGGATCTTCCTGGACCAGGGATCGAACCCGTGTCCCCTGCATTGGCAGGCAGATTCTTAACCACTGTGCCACCAGGGAAGTCCCAAGGTGTATTTTTTAAACATAAAACCTGCTGGAGTCCCAGAAGGAGGACCCTCCTGAGAAAATTTAGCAGATTGGGATTCCATTACTCAAAACCAGAGGTTCAAAAAACAAACGAGGGACTTCCCTGGTGGCGCAGTGGTTAAGAATCTGCCTGCCAATGCAGGGGATACGGGTTTGAACCCTGGTCCAGGAAGATCACACATGCTGCGGAGCAACTAAGCCTGTGCGCCACAACTACTGAACCTGCACTCTAGAGCCCGCGCGCCGCAGCTACTGAAGCCCGCGCTCCTAGAGCCCGTGCTCCGCAACAAAATAAGCCACCGCAATGAGAAGCCTGCGCGCCACAGCAAAGAGTAGCCCCCGCTCGCCGCCGGCGCGCAGCAACGAAGACCCCACGCGGCCAAAAATAAACAAAAATCTTTTTTTAAGTTTTAAAAAAAACAAACAAGCACTCCCCAGAAAGGACAAAACCTTTAAACAGATCCCAAATAAAGCCGGAGCTCAACTGAAAGGAGGGAGCTCCCATCTGAGAGGAGACTTAACTGAAAGGAAAAAGACAACTCACAGAAGCAGAGGGCAGAATGGGCCTGAGTGAGCACCTCACGTGGCTCCAGGGTTCGTTAATTTCTCAGGGGTTTGTCTCCTTGGGATTCCACTTCTGATCATCATGTAATAGTGACCTTAAAAAAAACAAAAGAGCCAGTTATAGTACCAACAAAACGTGTTTATTCGTGAATAGCAGAGAATTGCAATCAGGACATGCAAAATATGGCAAACCATAGGCAAGTCCAGAGAACAGAGGAGAGAAGCTTGCTTTTATAGAGGAAAGTACTACCTAACCAGGTTCATTTGCCCAACAGGCAGGAAGCCAAACAGATGCCAATGTTTGTAGCAAAGAAAGGGTTTATTCACGAGACAGCTAAGTGAGGAGATGGAAGAATACGTCTCAAATCTGCCTCCTTCAAGGCCAGGGGCTTGGGATATTTATGGGGAAAGAGTGTAGGCTTGTCAGAGGTGCAGGGGAGGTGATTGTTGTTCTGCGCAGGCGCAACTGAGCATCACGCTTCATAGTATGCGTGTTCAGAAAATGGCAGCGTTAGCACGATCCGAGGGTGAAGTTTTCTGCCCTCTGAGGTCAAAAGGTGGACATCACACAGGCCCAGATGAATGGTCGGTGGTCTTGGCCAGTTTGAGTTGGGCAAGAACTAGTTCCTAAAAAACAACTTAGGCAACTGTTATAGTGACCCATACATCAGAGGTGTTATCTATAGGGGGTGGTTAAGAGTCTTGTGACATATTGTCTAAGCTATGTGAAGCTTGGAGGGTCTGCTGTTTTCCACAGTGGCTGCACCAACTTACTCTCCCACCAGCAGTGTAGGAGGGTTCCCTTTTCTCCACACCCTCTCCAGCATTTATTAGTTGTAGACTTTTTCATGATGGCCCTTCTGACTGGTGTGAGGTAATACCTCATTGTAGTTTTGATTTGCACATCTCTGAAGATTAGCAACGTTGAGCATCTTTTCATGTGCCTGTTGGCCAACTGTATGTCTTTGGAAAAATGTCTATTCAGGTCTTCTGCCCATTTTTTAAACTGCGTTGTTTGATACTGAGTTGTATGAGCTGTTTATATACTTTGGATCTTAACCTCTTATCAGTCATATCATTCGCAAATATTTTCTCCCACTCAATAGGTTGTCTTTTTGTTTTGTTGATGGTTTCCTTTGCTGTGCAAAAGCTTTTAAGTTTAATTAGGTCCCATTTATTTATTTTTGCTGTTGTTTCCTTTGCCTTAGGAGACCCCCCCAAAAAAAATTATTGCCACAATTTATGTCAAAGAGTGTTCTGCCTATGTTCCCTTCTAGGAGTTTTATGTTTTCAGGTCTTACATTTTAGGTCTTTAATCCATTTTGAGTTTCTTTTTGTATATGGTGTGGGAAATGTTCTATTCATTCTTTTTCATGTAGCTGTCTAGATATCCCAGCACCACTTATGGAGGAGACTGTCTTTCCCCCATTGTATATTCTTGCCTCCTTTGTCATAGATTAATTGATCATAAGTGTATGGCTTTATTTCTGGACTCCATATTTTGTTCCATTGATCAATGTGTCTGTTGTTGTGCTAGTACCATACTGGTTTTTTAATTTTTATTGGAGTATAGTTGATTTACAATGCTGTGTTAGTTTCAGGTGTACAGCAAAGTGAATAGTTATACATATATCCACTTTTTTATATTATTTTCCCATATATGCCATTACAGACATTTGAGTAGAGTTCCCTGTGCTATAAAGCAGGTCCTTATTAGTAATCTATTTTATTAATATATACAGTGTATTAATGCATAGTATATGTAATACATAGTATATGTCCATCCCAATCTCCCAATTTATCCCTCCCCCTACCCCCTTGTAAGCGTGAATTTGTTTTTTACATCTGTAACTCTATTTCTGTTTCGTAGATAGTTCATTTGTACCCTTTTTTAGATTCCACATATAAGTGGTATCATATGATATGTGTCTTTCTCAGTACCATACTGTGTTGATGACTGTAGCTTTGTCATCAAAAGTCAGGGAGCATGATACCTCCAGCTCTGTTCTTCTTTATCAAGATTGCTCTGGCTATTTGGGGACTTTATGTTTCCATACAAATTTTAGAATTATTTGTTCTAGTTCTATGAAAAATGCCATTGGTGTTTTGATAAGGATTGCATCGAATCTGTAGATTGCCTTGGGTAATATGGTCATTTTAACATTATTAATCCTTCCAGTCTGAAAACACAGTATATCTTTCCATGTTGTCATCTTCAGTTTCTTTCATCAATGTCTTATACTTTTTGAGTACAGGTCTTTTACCTCCTTAGTTAGATTTATTCCTAGGTGTTTTATTCTTTTTGATGCAATGGAAAATGGGATTTTTATTTTTGCTTTCTCTTTCTGATACTTTATTAT